TATCAATGTCCGTCTGTCTGTCTGTCTGTCTGTATATATACAAACTAGTCCCTCAGTTTTTAAGCTATCGATCTGAAATTTTGCTCCTGTCCTTTTCTCACTAAGAAGCTACTCCTTTATCGGCTATAGCTGCCTTCATAGAAAACTCTTTCATTTGAAGAGGTATATTCATGAAATTAGGCACGAGTTATTGTTTAAGCCAACAATGTATTCTCAGAAGAAATTGTTCAGATCAGATCACTATATATATCATATAGCTGTCATACCAATTGAACGATCGGAATCAAGTTCTTGTAAGGAACCTTTGTATTTGTGAAGGGTATTATAGCTTCGGTGCAACCGAAGTTAACGTTTTTTCTTGTTTTTAAGTGACATTTAATGAAATAACAAATCCAGTTAATTTGTTATTCAAATATTGTCGCAGACGCAAATGCTGGAAATCTTGTTCGCGCTGAGGTGTCTGTCAGTGACAGCCCATGAGCAAGCACGTCTTACCGGTTCACAAGATCTGCAGATTAGTGTTTTTTTTATTTATTCAGTAAATTATTTGATGATGGCTCTAAACTTCTTGATGTTGTGAACTTAATTTAAGAAACAACAGTATGTTGCCGCCACAATTTTCCGCGAAATAATGCTTACTCATAATAACATTAAATGGATTCATATGTGTCGCGTTGTATGCTGGGGTTCGTTAACAGCAGCGCTGCTATTGGAAGCTGAAGTTGTTGTTGTTGGCTGGCGTTGGACAGGTTAAGTCTTCAGTATAATGCAGCTTACTGAGCGTCGCGTGCGCATTTCAATGGCTGACCTTGACACCTTAATGCTGCTGCAGAAACATGCATATTTTGGTTAGCAAACGACCAAAGTGAAGAGGATAAATAATACATTAGCATACAAAATAAATCAAACTTTTTGATAAAAAATTTTTTTTTGTATTAAATTAAAAACTAGTTTGTCCAAGTCTATGTTCAAGTAATCAATAATTCCCACATCAAATTCACCCTCTACTGTCGAAGCACAAAAACTATATTAAAAGAATGAAGGAAGTGATAATTTTGGTAACTCAACAATATGATGCTGCTACTACTCAGCATGCAAAATTTTATAATATATCAAAATTTATATGTATAAAATTAGACGGCTCTAATGACTTGAAGTATTTTTGATAAGAGAAAATTGTCCACTTATTTGGTACCATATTAACTTTTACCAGGACTCAGGCAAGCTGAGTATATAAAAGGATGCAAACAGAGACACGCTGAATTCCCTCGTTCTTCAACTACTGTGTCGCAGAGTCTACTCCTGATGTCTTTTTATCTGCTCACATACCGAGATGGATCTGTGGACGGGACGCATTCACAGGAGAAGAGACGCAAAAATTTTAATTATTTTGGTCAGATGGGTTGAAACTCAGAGGGAAGGTTGAAGGGGTTTAAAAAAGAAACTTTCCGTCAAGATTTGTTTAAGGCTACCGGATCACTACAGACATATTCCTGCGAAGTGCAGCCTTTTTCAGGGAGGTGAGCATTCACTCCGACAGCAGAGCGGTAATGCAAACTTTGAGCTCGCTAATTATGCGCTGAAAGTTAGTCAAGGAGTATCTGTTTTCACTATTATTAGTATCGAGTTTTTATACTCTCGCAACCTGTTGCTACAGAGTATAATAGTTTTGTTCACCTAACGGTTGTTTGTATCACCTAAAACTAATTGAGTTAAATATTGGGTTAAATATATATAAATGATCAGGATATAGAGACGAGTTGAAATCCGGGTGACTGTCTGTCCGTCCGTCCGTCCGTCCGTGTAAGCTCTAACTTGAGTAAAAATTGAGATATCTTTATGAAACTTGGTAGACATGTTTCTTGGAACCGTGAGACGGTTGGTATTGCAGATGGGCGTAATCGGACCTCTGCCACGCCCACAAAACGCCATTAATCAAAAACAAATAAATTGCCATAACTAAGCTCCGCAATAAGATACAAGACTGTTATTTGGTACACAGGATCACATTAGGGAGGGGCATCCTCAGTTAAAATTGTTTTTTAAAGTGGGCGTGGTCACGCCCCTAATAGGTTTAATGTGCATATCTCCTAAACCGGTAATACTATAATAACAAAATTCACTGGAAGCAAATATTTTTAGCACTTCTATTGACGGTGTGAAAACAGTTGAAATCGGGTGGCAACTCCGCCCACTCCCCATATAATGGTACTGTTAAAAACTACTAAAAGCGCGATAAATCAAGCACTAAACACTCCAGAGACATTAAATTTTACCTCTGGGATGGTATGAGATGACTTTATAGGAACCGCGTTCAAAATTAAACAGTGGGCGTGGCACATCCCACTTTTAGGTGAAAACCAATATCTTGAGATCTGCTCAACCGATTTCAACCAAATTCGGTACATAGCATTATTCTCATATCTCTATGTTATAGTGCGAAAATGGGCGAAATCAAACTACAACCACGCCTATTTCCTATATAACACCATTTTCAATTCCATCTGATTCTTTAACTTTCTACTATGCATATCAAGCAACAATGACTATATAGGGGTAAAACTTTGCGTGAATAATACGTTTAAAGTATGCAACCTTGTGACCAAAAATTGTCTAAATGGAACCAAAACTGTTCAAGCCCCTAAGTACTAAATATGTGGACCCCAGTGCCTATAGTTGACCTTCTACCGAGAATATCAGTCAATCCACAAAGAAATCTCAAACGAGTATACCATTTGACTTTGCGAGAGTATAAAATATTCGGTTACATCCGAACTTAGCCCTTCCTTACTTGATTTATTATCAGACTCGTTTGGGTGCTTAAACATAGCGGAATCGCTGAAAAGTCGATAAACTTGCAAGAGGGACACACTAGGATAACTTTCATCAGATTAAAAACGATCAGAGTCTCCGTTCTCCTCTTGCGTTCTAACGCTGAACTTATGAGCCTCGCGTGAGCTCAGCAGGATATCGTATAAATTCCTACTGTAATTTGTTCTATAGACATTCAAGCGGTTAAGTTAAAAATCTTAACGGACGCAAATCGTCAAAATTGAATGAAAGAATCTCACCAGCTTTTGCGAGACAGGTTGGATTATCTCGGCAGTCACATTTGTGGCGAACCAGGAGAGCTAGCCGAAACTGATATTAGCCGACTCAACAAATTTGTGCCAGGCTCAAAGCGATTTGTACATTTAGGAAATTTATGTACCGCAAGAGACGACTGACTAAATGGGCTCTTGTTGCCAGTATATGACAGAAACGACCTTTTAACCTAATCTAACATTACTGATTAGAATTATATTATATATGTCAAACTGGTTCGTATATATCCAGTATATGGTTAACCAAAGAATGAAATTACTCGGTATACAAGTATAAGGCCTTGATAAAAAAAGGAACTGGTTTCGTTAATTTTGGTGGCGATTGGAATGATGCCAAGAAAAGTATATTTTAATTAGGAAAAGTCAATCAGAGGCATAAAACTCAATATAAATATAATATAATAGTATATAGGGTAAATCGAAAGGTTTTGACCAATTTCATTAATATTTGGTTTTAAACTACATTACACTCGGTAAACGTACCTACTAAATGCCAAGAAAGTAACTCATATACCTACTGATAGTAATATGCGGTATATAGTCAACAAGAAAGTCAAAACACATTGTAGGTATTTCGTATATTGCTACAAGGAGAAGGAGGGATCAGACTTCTTCCAGTTTTTGGCTCCATATTCTGAACGATAATTATGGTTTTCGATTTAAAAGATAAGTTAAGCGGAAAACGTATGTATATTCAACTTAGCCCAGCATAAATCTGTTTCAAATGTTTGTGAAAGAAAGTTGCCACTATTTAGGGGTTCCATTTTGATTAAGTTTTGTCAGGATTAATGATTAGATAAGTTATTATCAATATATAATTATGCTAAACTATGTATTCTACTCTGAAGAAATAAGAAAAAGATACAAGGAAAATTACGGCTTCAAAATGGTGTTCTATGATAATTGCCGTCGTCATTTTTTCTCGGAGCAAGTTCGCAGGATGAATGTCACTGAAGTGCAAAAGCTGCACTTGTTACTCGCCCCGTTAGCTTTTTCATGCCAAATATTTTATGCACAATATGACCCACGCGGTTTGTTTAGATGTCTCTTGTATCAGCTCTCACACTTACCGTTAATCGACGGTCTGAAAGAGCCGTCCATAATATACTACACTATAGTTAATTTCTTTAGCGGTAGTAGCGTCATCTTGCAGAGAGGCTAAGTACTTTTCAAACCTTCGTACGTCTCTGGTGTTATTCTTTAAAGAGTTCCTTAATTTTATGAATTGTATGGAATATATATGGAAGTAGCCGTAACAATTAACCGATGTCTAAGGATTTGACGTTACTAGATTGAAAACATTTTTTGGCTCACTATTTATAAAGATATCATTATAAAAAACATTTTTATTCATATAAACTTTTGCCTTTTGAACAGACTTGTAAAAAAGACGATTGACTTCCAACTTGGTTCAACAATCGCATAATTTCGCATGTTTTGGTATAGCATATATAATGCTTAGATAATTTTTTTACAAACAACCCTTATTTGAACGTAAATTAAATATAAACCCTGAGCAACACGTGGTGAGAGTATAAAAATTTTCATTAAAAAAGCACACTTTGTAAACTTAATAAAAATCTTAAAGTGCGCTGAAAAAATCGCTAAAGAAGATATGCGTTAAAGCTATGTATATTTTCTCCCTTCAGTCAGTTTTGCTTTCATCGCTGTCGACGTTATTGTAAGCTTTAAAGCACAAGCGCTGCTCGGCGCTCTGCAGCATCCATAACTCACCCACTAAATTACAAGCTGCTGTTAAGCTTACGTACGCACATACACAGCACTGTACAGACAAATTTATATATATGTTGGTATCTACATATGTATGTATTTTTCGTACCGGTCGGTCACATCTTTTTGTCAACTTAACAGGTCCAAAACCCAAAGCATGGCTATTAAATTTTTCGCAAACTGGATACTGTTGTTTTTGTTGCTTTTCTTGAGTTGTCTTTTGTCACAACAGCAAAATTTAATAACAACTGTGTCAAGTGACTGACTTCAGCTAGAAGCTCCTCGTACTTACTACATACCTTTTAGGCGCAGCTTCTATCCGTCGCAGCTCGTCACCTCAACATTCAGTCTTAAACGAAAGCTTACACGTTGTAGTGCGTTTTTTTGCAAAGCACGCTTTGGTGAAAAATAAAACTTATTAAAAAATTTTAAAGGACTTTTCTCAAAGGATACTCCTTATAAACTATAATAAATAAAAAATTAGTGAAAATGATTAAGATTTTATTGAGTGCAACATTGTGTGTGACCATGTTTGGCTCATTGGGTTAGTATATAATCATAGTCAATCATAATTTAATAAAAAAAGATCTTAGTTTTTAGTTGTAAATTAATAATATATTTGGTTTCAGTTTCTAATAACAAGTGTTCAAAAGACTTAAGACACAAACTTCCTCGCGTGTATTTTTGAGATAAATTAAAAAATTAACAGATATTTAAACAATGAAATCAAGACATATTTTAAGAAATAAATACATAAAAATATTTAAATATGGTAGAAAAAAATTTTAGGAGAAATTTACAAAAATAAAGACTATAATATAGATAGATAAATATTTTCTTATCAAAGTTTTTTTGTTATTTGAAAAAATTCTATGAATATTTTAGTAAATATAATTGAAATTATCAAATAATTGTGAAGAAATTACTTAAAGCTCAACTGATGCTAAATTTTTCAGTGCCACGTCTAAATATATTACTCTGAAAGATCCAGCTACTATTGTTATGCCTTAAAGGGTTAGATGGAGTTCCTCGAGCAAAAAACGGCATATTTTCAATAATTTTGTTTCATATAAAAAATAAAAATTTTAGTCAAACTTTTTATTATTCCAAGGATACATATTTTACTCAGATTTTATGAAATTTTAAAGAGCAAATATTCAAAACTCGGCCATTACGACATCATTTCCGTCAGTACGGAAAAAGGAGGTGCAGCAAAACTTCTTAATAAAGAATATAAACTTCGTATTGGACGAAAAGGAAAATTGTATTTCTGACAGCCGTGTTTACAAAAAAATACAAATTTTGGGGTAAATATCGCGACATTTCTTTTTTTTTAAATAGTTGTAATTGAATAAAAAAATCATTGCTACAAGACCTTGTAAATTATAACTCGAAGAGCTGTGTAAAATTACATTACATCGGTGGAGTAGTTCGCAGGAAATTGACAACCGACTTTGAAAACTCAGTTACGAGAAAAACGGGCTTAAAGTTTTAAGTGACTATACATATAGCTGCCCTCATGTGTGCAACTTTTCAAGGCTTTAACTCCTAAACCATTACTCGGATCAACTTAATCATTTAGGACGATATTCTAGAGATAATATAGAATTCAATAAGATAATAAAAAAAAATTTTTGATGCCGTGTAACCCATGTAACCCTTACATTATCTTATTGATAAAGATTAAAAAATAAGAAAAACCGTTAACTTCGGTTGCACCGAAGCTATAATACCTTTCACAAATACAAAGGTCTCTACAAGAACTTGATTTCGATCTAATTTCTTTAAGATACCTCGTCAAATAAAAAAGTTTTCCATGCAAGCACTTGATTCCGATTGTTCAGTTGGTATGGCAGCTTTATGCTATAGTGGTCCGATATCGCCCGTTCCGACAAATAAGCAGCTAAATGGCTAATTCATACATCATTTATGTATATATTCTATAGGGTTTCCGACGTTTCCTTTTTTGGTATTAAAAACTTCGTGGCAGCCTTTATATACCCTGTTCAGGGTATAAAAACGAAAATAAGCTAAAAAAACTTAAGATCATTATATCGGATCAGATATTCTTTTTTAAAATATGCCTAAATTGTAAGCTTGCTGGATAATTTCCTTATTTTCTCAGTTTATCTGTTGCTATGTCAGAAACCACCGTAATATCTTGAACGTAACTTTTCTAATTATAGAATCCACATGCACGCAAGCTACACAATTTTTTTATAAATTCATTTCTTCACATTAATTGCCAAATTACTTCAAAATAGAACAAATACCGGAATTTCGCCATTTGAAAACACCCAGAAATATTTCACATCGCCTGATTGGCATATTAATTGCAAATAATTGAAGCAGCTGGAATAACAGGTAAAAGTGATACTATATCTATAAGCAGGTGTATTATGTTCGCGGAATATGTGTAATTAATGCAAACCCTAAGCAGTACAGATAGAGATATCGCTTATAATCAGCCTAATTTAATATTCAATTGTAGGGAATAACTTTTTTTTTAAAGAATTTTGCATTTGAATTTGTGTAAGAGTTGTGGCAATATTTTCTTGGATGTTTGTTTATTTATGCTCATTGTTTAGTAGGCATTTCAAGTACACCTATATATACATAAGTATGTACAATATATACTTAACTTATAGTGCTGATCATTTTTTTTGGCTGTAATTTATTACAATTTTCAATCACGTTGCACACAAACAAATACAAGGCGTTGGCAATCATTGATTGAGGTGATTGAGCGGCATTTGAAATTCAATATGTACTTATGTATGTATGTAAGAAAATATATGTACACATATGTAGGGAGTGAATATATGTACAGTTGTTTATATGAAGCTTCCATTAACTTAAAAAATGGCATAACTGAATTTAAAAATTGTATCTTCTATTATTTAGTTTACATTTAATTTGAGTAACTGCTTGCTCATAACATTTACGATATTTAGATCATAAAATTAAAATTTTTGTTAGCAATTTTTGAGATTCTCAGACTTAAAAAGATTTTGGTGGATGCTTAAACATGTATATCTTAAAGTTTTTATAATAATATTTCAAACAAATTTTTGATATAAATAATTATTTCCACTTGCAGCAAAAAAAATTTTTTTGTTAAATTTTTAAGAGGCAATTAATTTAATAAATAAATAAAAATAATAACCATTCACAGAATTTAATGTATCCTAAAAATTAATAACGCATTTTGAAAATGTTTGGATTCGCTTTCGAGGATGACCTCAGAAAAATGTGTTTGGCGATAAGGAATATTTTTCTGCTTAAAGTTATCTTAGATCGAAAACCGAAAAAAAATATTAATACTATAGATGTATTCAATTAATAATCGAAATTTTGGTTTTTGACAAAAAAGGCGAATTTTGTGAAATATAATATTTCTACTTCATAGTGGCCAAAAAAGGGTTTCGAAAAAATAAATTTAAATTTTTCAAATACGCTCATATATCCGAAACTATTTGACAGTACAACTTCGCATTTTTAGAGAAGAATCTCAAATATATTTACAATCGAAATATGCAAATTCGATTTTTTTGAAATTTACATGTGGATATAATCTTGAAACCTAGAACTACTATTACTTATACTCGTAAGACTAAAGTCGGTAAATTTTTACAACGAAACGATTTATTTATGGCATATAGAAATTTTTCAAAAAATAATGAAAACAAGCTTTTAATTAAAAAACATTATTTTCTCCACTCCTTAGCTAGGATTCAAGTTTACCAGAGCAAATTAAAGCCTTAGGGTTTTTATTGAGATATTTTAACTTTTTTGTATTTAAAATAGCCTTATTTTAGCTGAATTATACATATAGTTCAACTTATTTCTCATTTTTTTCTTGAAAAATGTAGGTTTTCCGGGCTCTCTCCATATAACTCATAACTCTATATTATCCAGTCTTGAATGCTAGAAATATTTTTAGGGCTCAAATATTGACGTTATTTTTACTTTTTGCGATAAATCTATGTTGAAACTCATGAACTAATAATAAATTTTCATCTGTGGTCGCCTCGCCTCTTTCAAAAATGCTGATGGTTTAATTTATACAGGCCGTTAAAAATTTTCCATTGAATATTTTTTAATAATGCTAAATTTTTGCACAATTTTTTCCTGCTGTAGTAAGACCTGCGTCATTCGAATAATCTTTTTAAGCCCAAATATGTACTTTACAATATCAAATGTTTGATAGACCTAAATACAATGAATGTAATGTAAAAGATGTACTGTAAATAATAGTCAACCAGAGGCTATATATTATATCACCCACTTCGAAACCCAACAAACCAACTGAGACTTTGTTGGGTGCACTGTGATGAGAATTTATGTAATGCATCTATTGTGAATGGTGAATATTTCCAAAGTGCGTTAAAAATTTGTTCAAAAAATATTTTTTACCATACCAAATATTCGATGAAAATTGTTACGCGATTTCTACTATTTTTGGAGCATGTATCACTCGAATAAGTTTTGTGAAATATAAAATGCATTTTGAAATATAAATGCATGATTTGATATTTTTACTCAGTTAAATGTTCACAGACAGTATATTTTGTTTCCTAGACTTACTTCCAGTGAAAAAGATTAACGCATAAGTACACCTTTTAGAGAAACAATTCCTTCCGGCTTTTCCTTTCTGTCAAGCAAATCAAAATATCTTCAAATTAGTACACGAATACTTACTTCATAAAAGCACAAACATAACGATGGTCCCCCAATTGATTACTAGAAGACTAAACTTTTATCAACATTTCAGTCTCCATTATTAGTATCGTACTGCTCTTGAGAATAATTAATATCTAAACATCTTTTGTTTGCACAAATGAATATTATCACTTCCCAGTTATGCCATTTATAAGGTTAACTTGTTATACAAATACTACACAAATTCGATTCGAGAATAAATATTCTCGTATAATTACTTTAACAAACATTAGACCTCACATTGTCATCTACCAGCAATCAGCAGTTAGGCGTGCCGAACCGGCTACCTAATTGAAATATGTGGCATCTCAACCGACAATATTGATTTGCCATAAATAACTAATTATCTATAGGTTATCTTCTGGCATTCACACATTTATCACCAACTCATCTCGCTTCTAATTTGCTAAATTGCGAATTTCCGAGCTATCAGATGCGTTAGAAACAGGAAAAAAGTAAAAAGCGCTAACTGTTATTGCAATGCAAAAAATTGTTGTTGTTGGTTTTTTGCAAACAAGTTCGTTGCTTAATTCTTTGCATTTGTCTTCAACAAGATTTGTTGTCTGTATATATTTGAAGGTGATGGATTTTATATAAATAAAAATAGTTTTATTAATAAATATATAACAATGCAGCCAGTCGCTAGAGGCTGCTGGTGGCTTAAGTTAATGCTTAATGTATTTGTTTTATAGGTGTGTTTGTTTACTTGTTTGCCGCATCTACATTTTTGTGGTTATCTTTCGTTGTTTCACAAGGTCGCTGTTGTAGTAGCTTAGTAAGTGACGCTGTGATGACGTACAGTGGTACAAGAGTGGTTAAAAA